TCCTCTGGCTCTACAGAAAATGACGGTTTCAGACCTAATTGACGACAACAATAGGCAGTGGAATCTGGTCAAGATAAGAGAATTCTTTCCTGCACATGAGGACATAATTAGGTTGCTCCCTTTAGGCTCTCTTCGTAGGGCTGATCGACTAGTTTGGCTTCTCCTAAAACAAGGAGAATACTCAACCCGTCCTGACTACGGGGTCTCTGTTCTACATGATATTCTGACGCAACAAACGCAGTTTAATTGGCAACGAAATGTCTGAAAAATTCAGACCCTACCAAAAATCAAAAGCTTCATTTGGAAGGCATTAGTAGGTGCTCTGCCCGTAGGTATGCTTCTGTTTCAAAGGGGCATGAATGTGGATCCTCGTTGCAAACGCTGCGGTGCTCCGGAAACTATATTACATGTGTTGCGCGACTGCCCTTTTTCCATCAAAGTATGGAGTCTTTCCCCTCTTTTGGGACCAATAACAAGAGCTGGTGATATGTTCTCTTTCCTCCCTGCCCTGAAAACTTTTAAAACTGCACCTCAGGAAGGAGTTAAGGTGATTTCCCTATATGCGTGGATCCTATGGAACCTATGGCGGCTAGGAATCATCTGAGCTTCACAGAGAAATGATTCTCAGAGGAGGAAGTTACACGTAAAGCCATCTCGGAGGCTTTGCAATGGCAGAACGCTCAAGCACCGTTGCGCGTGAAGTGTAATTCCCCACCAAACGAATCTCGGAACATTGATATCTCCTCCGGATTCGTGTGTCATGTGGATGCAGCTTGGAATGCTATCTCCATGAACTGCGGTATGGGCTGGATCCTCACATCTATGACAAATTCCTCTGTTTTTTCCGCATCAGCCTCATGTGTCGACGTCGCTTCAGAGTTAGTTGCAGATACGAGAGCACTTAAAGTTGCCTTGATCTATGCAATAGATTTCAGATGTTCCTCTATCACGATGCGATCTGATTCGCAAACGCTAATTCGCCTCCTCAACTCTCACGAATCTCATTTTACAGTGGATATGCTCTTAGAAGACATTAAAGAGTTAGCATGTTCTTTTGATTTTATCGTTTTTCAATTTGTTCCTCGAACTGTTAATGTCGAGGCTAATGAGTTGGCCAAGCAAGCCCTCTCTGAGCTTGAGAACATTGTACCAGAAGGCAAATTTTAATGAAATTTCGAAGTTCGTGACAAAAAAAAAGAATC